ATACTTTTCTTTATTGGCGTCTTCAGATTGACGGGCCTGAGTCTATGCCTCTTTGAGCAGCTTCGCGTTTCAGCACAGCTGGTCCGAGATGTAAGAGTCGCGGACGCCGACGACGAACCGGTCATGTATGAGCCTTTTCTCGACAGCAGCTGACTGATAGTTATAGCGCTTCACCATTCTACACAGCTCTGCGAAGTATGTATCGACGCTTTTGTTTGGCTGCTGGACGCATTGGTGAAACCGTGACTACTCGTAGAGCTCGTTGGCGGGGTGCACGAAATGCTCAGGGAAGTAAGCGGCAACGACTTCGTATGAGGCAAGTGACAGGGCGTCGAGTGAAAAAGTCTTAAGGAGCTTGTGGGTGTCCGGGCCCATGCAGTACAGTAACGAGCGTACCTGCAGGTCTTCTGACGCGACCAGTAGTCTACACTACACTCAATCGAATGAAGAGGCAGAGGATGGTTCATACAGTCAAGGACCTGTTGCACAAGACGAGCGTACGTGCACGTCTTCCTGTGCTTTTGTGAGCCGCAAAACTACTGCGTAGTCTTCGTAGTGGCAAAGCCATGTCGCCCATGTTGCCGAGTTCGTGAAGTCGAACAGAGTCGGTGGCTGGAGGTTGATGCCATACAGTTGTGGCAGTTGCAGCGGCTTGCTTGTCTCATTGAAGGACATCGTGTTGCCGTTCAGTCGTGGCGAGGCCTAAGGCTGGGGGCATTGTTCGTTAGCTATCCCACCGCTGCCACTATGTCACGTGGTTAGTGCCGCGAATGAGCGCAGGCACGCATGAACCGAGACGCACAAGATGGCTCCCTGGACAAAACGGAGTTCCCCGCCTTTATTGGGATCGACATATATAGACATACATAGAAGGTGCAGGGGGTGCCACGCTCCGGTGGCAGCCTAATAAAAGCACTGAAAGGTGGCGCCTTCTACATGAAGTACAAAACTTTATTTTGTCACATTAGAATAACAGTCCCTTTGTCTTTTTTGTAGACGTCAAGGTCCTGTATTATTCTATTTCGCATGACTCATTGTTACAATGCATTGAAGAATATATAGATGAGTTTGGTGCCCCTAAATTTGAGTCTGAGTCTGGCCTCAGGGTCGGGGGGTTTTTAGAGCTTCTTAGGTTTTACCTTCAGTCGACGTAAATCCTATAGGATGGAAAACCTCACCTTTAAAAAGACAGTATTGGTTCTTGCATCGCTCCCATCGTCAGTGACCTGTTTTTAGGCAAATTAGACAGATCCATTTTGGAAGTTTTCACGAAGTAGTTTTGAACATTGTGAGCTTACCTATGAACGTTCAGAGAATCGTGAAATTAGGTTTTTTGATGGTAAGATATTTTTAAATAATGACCGCTCTTGCTGGATGTATCAACCTCGTGGAAATAAGCCTGTTTTGCCATTTCACTCCGCGCATTCTAAATTACTTGAGTGAGGTATCGCAAAATCTTGCTTCATAAAGGCTTTGGGAAAATCCTGTATGCACAAGATTACGAAAAGCTTTGTTGAGCAATCGTCAAGGCTGACGTCAGCTGGGTACCCGGACCACGTGCAAGTTTTTGTTGGCAAAAGCCTGCTGGTTGAACTTAAGGCCAAATAGAACGCTAACGTCGTCCAAGCTAGACAAGCTTTTGCCGTAGTTCTGTATATGCACAGGACAGCCCACAATCTTAAAGTGGCAGGGCTAGTTATTGTGAATGTGGTCTTACTGCCCCTCAAAAACTTAGTGGCCTGTGCAAACTGTCTCTTTCACCATCCAGACCCACCATCGCACTACCAAACACGCAAAACATTTTAGAGATTGTATTTGTAATGGGGTGTATCAGCTATTGTTATCGTGTGGAAGATACTACATCGGCCAAACAGGTCGTTGTATAAATGAGAGGCTGAAGGAACATGTGTGCCATATGGATCGATATAAAGAAGGATGGTTGTTCGTTCACTGCAGCAGGTGTGGCAGCCAGCCAACATTTTCAGAGTGTACTATTGTTGCATCATGCAGGGATTGCACCATACGCGATAATATAAATGCTGAAAAGGTATGTTCATTAAAAGATGCTTGTGTTAGCACCGCTTTTGTCGCATTTACACTTCAAAGAAAAGTTGTTTTTTAGCTTGTCGGTTTGATGTACTTATGCATTATCATTGTGTTTCGCGCATGACTGGTGCACAACGAGTAACTGTTTAAAACCAAAGACCTCCGCAAAAAATAAATTGTCTGTTCACTGCTGTCTCGTCTTTTCTGTCCCCGCCTGTTGTTTGCGCTGTTAAGCACTCTTTATCACACTAACCTAGTTCTTAACTTGAGATCGTAGATGGCACGCTGTAGTTCAGATGTTTTTTGTGCGCTTGTGCATTTTGTTTTTATGCTTCGTCTCAAGCGTTTTATTCTTTGCTTGACATGAACAACATGACGCGTGACCCAAAGGTTGTTTTTCAGCGATTTTTTACTTTTCGTTGGGATATAGGTAATGGCGCATACAGTGCGAGATTATGCGCTTAAATAGAAGCTAGAGCTCATGGACGTGAACATATCTATCGCTGGCCATTTAAAAAAATTCTTTGTATTCATGTTCTAAGAAGTACGGCTGAGTCATCTGCTTTTTGGAAATCGGGCATGGAAACCTCAGTAGACTTGCGGTAACATTGCATCCGAGGGGTAGCTGCCATTTTGGCATGTGGTGATCGAATATATCATCCAGGATATCCAAGCATTAGTGACAACTCCTATCAAGCTGGAAGTTGTCACTAATGAATAATAAGTGTGGAACGTTGGCACTTGTTTCTTGTGTTCGCGTTGGAAAAGTTATAACTTGATGAAGCCCAAAATTGAGCATCAAATCAATGAGTGAATTGGATGATTGTGAAGTGTGGTGCATAGTATTCCAGTCACTATCAGGCAAATTGAAGTCTCGCAATAAAAATAACATGATTGCTAGAATGATTCTGCTTAAGTTCATAGACAGCAACAACACTTTCGTGGCCACACACAGGGCTTCTGTAGAAACAGCCAGTAAGTATTGAAATGTCGCCGCACATAATCTTACAGAACACTGCCTCTGCATCTGGAATGTCAGGCATTAAAACAAAACACAAAGGCTTTTTAATCAGCAGAGCTACGCCACCGCCTCTAGTTAGTCAATTTTTATGGATAATTGTGTAGCTTGGGGTTGCTATTTCGTGGCTGTATACGTCTTCTGAAAGCCATGTTTTGTAATAGCAACTATATCTAGTTCATGTTCGAGCAGCACGTTTTCTAATGCTTCAGTTTCATTGACAATACTTCTCGCGTTTACATTTAATAAGGTTAATTCTGTGAACATTTGTAGCTTTGAGTTAGTGGTAGACTTTCTTCGGCATTTTATTGTAGTTCAGTTCTCTCATTTTTTTTGTCGTCCCCGACAAAAGTTTCTCCATTTATGTGTAGTTTGTCCGAAACCAACGACACCTTTTCTCCCTTTTAACAGTTTGGTCTCGCACTTTCCCATAGTTTCCTTTTCTTTTCCCTCCCCTCTACAACTAAAATCTTCACCTATAGAGTAGTTAGTGTTCTTAACCTTTTAGCCTTTTCTTAGTATCATCTATTTGTTTCGCGAGTCAAGTAGCTTAAGAATGACCAACTTTTGTTCTCTTTATTGGGCCGGCCTAGGCAATGTATTCTTGTTATGGTAAGTGGCTCTAAACCAAAGGTATTCTTGATGATTGTTTGATTAATGCTGCATTCTAGTGTTCTGTAGTTTTCACCCTCATCCTCAGGCAATCCCTAAACAATAAGATTTGACCATCATCTGTCATTTTCCAAATCGTTGACTGTATTTTCTAATTTCTGAAAGGCCTTTTTCTTAAATTTTTTAAAGGCCTGATTTTCGCTTGAGACCACTTTTTCTTCAAAGTTTGAAAGGGCATCTATCTTTCTATTTCAGGGAGCTGACATTCTTTGATTTTTTTTTATATTAGTGGGAATGTCTTTTAACTGTTTAGCAATCTGGCTGTAATCAGGTCCCAGATTTTTTTTTCATGTCACCAGTCACTAAAAGAAGTCTTCATAAATACAAAACAGCGTCAATAACTTCTAGAAAAGCCGTGCGCACGGCAGCACCAACAAGAATGGGTTACTTGACCTAAAACACCGTGTCGCCTTCTCACCTGCATGAAGGACAGCGGGTTAGACGTCTGCATCCTTGTGGTACCACCGTGCCCAATGGTTACTAGGTGTGATGAAATGCCATATATAGCCAGTTGTATAGGTGGCGCTGAATGCTGGTCATGAGTCTAAGAGCAAGTGTCGGTATAGCTACACCATGCGGCCAGCTGTCCTATTGCAGATACGGTAGACCATCTGGTGCGTGGAAATCGTTGCTGTTGACATGCGTAATGCTGATAATCGCAGGCAGCTGCATGGTGCATATACCCCCACCAATAAGTAGTGCGCTGACAGCAAGCTGCATGAAAAAGGCCAGCGGGTTAGACGTTTGCCTGCTCGTGATACCACTTGTTTTTTTGACGAAGAGTGTGGGTTCAGCAATATCAATGATGTCTGTTTTTGTAATTTTCTGTCTCATCAAATTCAAAAGTAGAAATGCGCTCAAAGTTAGTATTGTCATGAGGCTGTAACATAGAGAAAACAACAGTTGGTGGGTTCAAGAGTAAGCTTTTTATTTGGGGGAACCTGTGCCCGATACAAAAGAGGTTGTTAAATTATAAGTTATACATGCTGTACACTAACAGTGATGAACAGTGTCAGCATTTCTACAAGTAGCATCGAACATTCGAACCTTCTCGCTGGTGCTCGCATGAGCTCTTGAATAAACACACTGATGACATCCTGCACGCAAAATCTCTGACAATTGCAAAGCTTCTCAGCCATTGCGCTAAAAGCCTTTGTTTACGGATAAATATGTCGAAAGAAACACACGTGGCAGTATGTCGAAAGAAAATAAGTGTTGTACAATCTCTTTAGATTTTTCCAATTTGTGATCTCTTGCGGTGCAGCGCAAACAGCTTGAAAAAAAGCTGGACGAGTCACGGCAACATCTGTCCGAGGTGAAGACATCCTGGAGTGACAAAATCAACAACCTTGAAGCTCAGGTACAATTTAGTGTCTTTTGGGAATACTATGCTACTATACTCTAGAAGCTCATCAGTTTGTGCTTTGTTGCTGCACTTTCATTTATACAGATGATTTGATAGTATTTTCTGGGAAAATTCTACACTCTGCAGGATCATCATTTTGTGCTCGGTTGCAGCACTTTCAGACAATGTGCCTAAGCTGGTGAAAATGGCAAATTCAGTCAGTGGAAATGTCATTGTTACTTAAAAACAATGCCTTGCAAAAGTTGCATAATGAAGTGTGAAATGACTTGCTTTCAAAAATTTTGTAATGTATTGAAAGTACGGCAGATAATTGAACTGGTGACCTCACAGCTTGTCACTTAATGTCATGGGATTTCGCAGCTACATGAAACACAAGTCAGTCCAAATAAGGAAGATGTTCTGGGGTGAAAAGTTCAGGAGCTATATTTTTACCTAGCTTGTCAAAATGTGAGCTCTTGTTGTAAGCATAGGAGTGCACCTTACTGGGCTGGTTGGTACATGTTGGGAACATTGCTGGACACCAGTGGTTTATTATGCCCTCGTCTGTCATTTTTTTCACATCACATCCCATGATCAGTGCTGTATGCTGTCGTTTTAATTGAGAAATGCAGTTTTTAATGGCTACAATGAATATTGGTATCATGAATAATATTGGGAATTGTTACTTTTTGAAGCATTCAATATCTATGAAGTAGAGCCATGGCAACAATTTTGATGCAGAGGTTGCTGCTCTTTTGTGTAGATCTTTAATCTGAACCAGAAGATGGCAGAAGACTCGCAGGAGTGCAGTCACATGGAGAAGCTGCTTGCAGATGCCCAGCAGCGCCTTAAGGATCAGCAGCAGCAGTGTGCCAAGTTTGAAGAGCAGTTGCTGGATAGGGACACTGAACTGGCAAACATGGTGAGGGAACATCCTGTTTTGAGATGCTGTCAACTTCATCTGTCAAGTTCTGAACAAATGTTTGTGCCCTTGCATAAACAGCCTTTTGGGAAAAAAAAGATTTCACCTTGCACAATCTTAGGACAACCACCTATTATGCAACTGGAAATGGCTTCTGCATCCAAGTCGTGCTTATCCTTGCTTTGCGTCTGCTTTCCAAAGAATCACAAGCGTACATTTTAAAAAGTTTCTGGCAGCACAGTATTAAACATGCAGGTACTATTCGTGATATGTGGTAAGTTGATGTTACATAGCAATTTAGCATTGATAGATGCATGCACAGAAAACAAGGGGGGGAAAGAGGGAATAGAAAAGACTATCCCAGTGCTGAAATACAATTTAAATATGCATTAAATAATACCTATGTACAGCACAATTTACAACAAAAGAATTGTTTGCTAATCATGTACCTGCAAGACTACCGTTCAGCATATATTGAATTTATCTAGGCAAAGAAATGTGTTGAAAGGTCTTCATACCAAATAGGTGCCAGATATTTTGCACTTCTTTGGGAGGGACACTTAAAATACAATGTGACAGGGCAGGTGAGTATGCTGTGAACTTAATGCTGTTTTTTTGATAATATGTTAATTTATTGTCTAGTGGATTAGGTGTATTTGCTTTTTTTGTTATTTTGCACATACAAACAACATTCAGTGTTTATTAAATGGACTCTGAACCATCACTTGGAGCATGATGATAGCTTATAAAGTTATAGAGTTTTCAAGCAAAAGTAGGCTTGGCTGTCTTTTTAAGCAGCGAGGCCCATAGTCTCCGGGGAGTATCACTTAGCTTAGTTGAGCTTCATAGGAGTTGTGCTTCGCAACCGAGCGGTCTGCTCACAATATCCCATACCCACTACATTAATATTGAAACTCATTGGAAGGATGAGTACACACAGGGAATAATTCATGTCTAATGTTTCTTTTGGTCTTTTAAAATGAGAAATTCGAAAACAGGAGGTGGGTGCTGGAGCTGAGGTTTCGACAAGCGGACTTGTCTTTTTCAAAACTGCAAGTGACTTCCTCAGCTCTTGTCTGTGTGTATGCCTCATACCTTCTCGCCCAATTAAAATACAGAAGGAAGAGAGAGCAACAGCAAATAGAAGGGGAAGGGGGACTGGGGTACAGTGAAAGGCTGACGTTTAATATTGAGCAAGTCAAAAAACGGTATTTTGTAAAAGAAAAAAAAAAAGGGATTGGTTGGGAAGAGAGGGGAGGGAGGGCGGTGTTTTCTAAGTTATGGTTGTCCGAAGAACACCACAGCGGCCTCTCATTGTTCCCCACAATCCCCTCCCTCCATCCTTTTCGCTGTTGCCCTCTCTTCCTCCTTTGTTTGGATTGGGGAGAGGGTACGAGGCAAACACACGGGCAAGAGTGAACGAAATCAGGTGCAGTCTTGAAAAAGACAAGTCCACTTGTCATCCGGCTGCGGCGGCTGCATTTCCGATGGAGGCGGAAATGTTGTAGGCCCGTGTGCTCAGATCTGGGTGCACGTTAAAGAACCCCAGGTGGTCAAAATTTTCGGAGCCCTGCACTACGGCGTCTCTCATAATCATATGGTGGTTTTGGGACGTTAACCCCACATATCAATCAATCAGTCCACTTGTCAAAATGTCAGCTACAGCACCCACCCCCTGTTTCTGAATTTCTCATTGCAAGCTTTCATCTTCTCCTTCTTGTCTTTCTTTTGGTCTCATTACGGGTGCCACATAGGCACTTTCAATCAAGATCAGAGCGATCTGGATTAAATTTCTTAATTGCAATCAACTTTGTGGCCGCTGCTACACAGTCGAAGCTAATCCAGTTCGTGCTTGTTTCAAATGAAGTGTACCAGGTCGTGCTAGTGTGCCCGAAATCTTGTAGAATACATGTAACATGATTTACGAGTTGTTTATGAAACTTTTTTTTACATTATATTTAGCTTGTTTATGTACACCTGGCTTGGGAAACGCCTTACACTTGTTACACTATCTGCTTGGGACTTCAGTTATTGTTTACACTTGGCAACACGGGCAGTCGTGCTTTCTGCTTTGTTTTTTGTGCCAGGTGCCGCTAATGTTTGGCTGCGCGAGCGAAATGAGTACCGCAGAAAAGTACACTATTGCAGCTCTTCTAGTAACGTCAGATCACTGCTGGGTTAAATAATGGAGACATACTGGACGTACTGTAACACTCAAAATAATACTGAACATTTATATGTCACTGAAAAAAAATCGGTGTCTATGATAATTCAATATAGAGGCCTTTATCAGCAATGTTATTCGTGCAAGAAACACACAAGCATCAAAAACTTTGCACTCCTCTGTAAAAGTATTTTCATAAATCTATCATTTGATACTGTTTTCTTGCACTTACTTGTATTCCTATATGAAATTCTTAATCACCTTTTTTTTTCTTATGGCTTCCACTCGCAGCTATTCATTTGCAGCGAAGCAGCAGTCTTGTGTGCGCCAGAGTTTTGCTTTAGGTGCTCCAAGTCTACAGCCACTCCTGTTAGTTGTCAATTAAATAATGGGCTCTTTATATGCTCCGACATAATTGGAAAGCTGCCAACACTAATAATCAGTTTTCTTTGAGGTGCTCTATGAGCTCTGACAGTACAGCAGTTAAACTAAGGGCTGAAGACTGCGGTTGTCTGGTTATCGTATGCTTCTTCCATAGTACGTGGGGTCCATACGAATTTGAAGATATTCAGAATTCTGATATTGTTTCAATTGAAACAGTTCAAAATTTGTCTTTTATCGAGAGCTGTCTTTTCTAATGGGCTTGTATTGAGCTGCGCTAGATTTTCTAGTTTGTTGTGCTTTTAACAAGCTTGGCCACAAAGCACAGACGTCGGAGAAATCGCTATCTATGAGCAATATCGCGATGCGTGGATTGCGATAGTCTTGATCCCGATTTGGCTTGATTGCGAATAAGAGAGACTGTGTAGCAGCTCCTAGTTCAGATCTGGATCTTAATCCAGATCTGAACTAGGTCCTTAATCTGGATTGGTGCTGATCGTGATTAATAATGCCCGTGTGGCACCCATATTAAAGAAATTCTTCAGTAGTTTTTAGGAGGCTCTCATTTCAAAACATTCTTAAGACTTTCATAAAGTGATGATTCAGAGACTTCGTAAATAAAATCCTAATTAGTGACATTTGCTGCATCTGTTTCTCTTCTTGTGTTTGTTGTTGTTTCTAATAGACACCTATTTCACAAGACTAAACTCTCATTTTTTCATGACAAAAGAAAAGTTTGCAATGTACTACCATAGACTAGAATAGGCTTGCATAATCAGCTTAAGTGCATGTGGGAACAATTAAGCTAATCTAGGTAGTTGTTTAGATTTTTGAGTTCAGCTTCATTTGAAAACAGTGGCTTAAGATAAACGGAGTAATATTGCCGCTTGTTTAACGAGACCGGTGCTTGCAAAAGCGGTGCCACTATGAAGAAGAGTTCCTGCGGCAGCGTGCCCTCCAGGACTGTCAGCTGGACGAGCTACGAATGCAGGCAGCTGACCTCCGTGCGCAGCTCACCCAAGCCCAGCGGGACCGTGACCAAGAGGCCATTCAAGCTCAAGCACACATTGTGAGTGGGCTCTTATTCATCTCCAGGTTGTTGCCATAAAACCCATTCCCGACTAGCTTTGCCGTCGCAGTAGTCATACTCGTAATGAGGAACTATCCAATATGCTTTGTTTGATTTTGAAATGAAAACCCAGAAAACCAAGAATTGAACAATGCCAGCTCGTGGGTTTATAAACATTCTCTTTTCATTTTGGAATATATAGTGGTCAGTTATATCAATAAATGCAGCATTTTGTAGACTTAGCTTTGCCAGACAGCTGACTCGCTTAATTTCAGACTTATTCTGTCAGGCTATCTGGTGCAAGATCAGCATTGCTTCCAATTTCTGGCAACTGTTGTAATACATGAAATGTGCTACACTGCTAGGTTTTGCCTCTTGACAGTTTCACAGATGAGTTTTAGATGAGTCGGTCAGAGCACTAATTAAAATGTAAGAACTGCAGTGCCTAACTGTCCTGTGAAGTGTCAGTGTGTTGTATTGTGCGGCGGACGCGCCGAACGAAGCACACAGGGCTCGACGCTGAAGAGCCGGCCGACACAAGGTTAGCAGCAGCCAGTAGCCAAGCAGGAACTCATTTATTCTGTACAATGCCGCGCATATACACACAGGGTAGCGCCCCCTGAGGCGAAAACACTTCACATTAAACCGAATCTGGTAACCACGGAATCAGAACTGAAACACCTCATCATCTCCCCCTAGAATGAAAAGGAAATGTGGCTCTAAGATTTTTATACAAGGATTAATGAAACCTGAGTAACTTTTTGTTGAGTCGCCGCGGCCTACTGGCCACGGCTCGAAAGGAGGGCACGTTGACACGGTTTGCGAAGGCAGACAAAGAATGACGTTTATTAACTGCAGTAGGGCGTTAATATAAGATTGTGGTAAAGGGAAAGGGAGAAGGGAACAGAGCAAAGAAACTTCACGCATGCGCAGTGGACAGCCAGTCTGTGACACCGCAACCGATACAACACTTTTTCCTCCTAAAAGTGAAAACGATCAACTGGCTTCCTTGTACGCGTTGAGCGTCTAAGTACTTGAGCTAAGTCCCTTGCAACTTCTTATTCAGTGGACTGACAGGCCAGAACTAATTCGGGGCATGATGATCTGTGACTAAAGTTGGGGTACCCGACCGTTCTCGCAGACTTGCATCAGGGTGCGGCACCGCTTCTTCTGGGCTGACTGGCGGCTCGTCCGTGCACATGTGTTCCGCCGGGACCGGTGATTGCACTTCCGTAGGCTGCAGGCAGACTTGACCAACATGCCATCAGGCAATTGTTCCAGGTGTTTCTACGGTGACCATTCACGTCCCAGATGTAGCTATCACCTGTCCTGGTATTCATTTACTTCCGGTACCGTAGTTGCGCACGTGCACACGACTGTTTACAGGGGGCACGCGTTCCTTGCTTGCACATGTGGCTCCCCCACCGGACTTTGGGAAACAGGTATCCAGGCGCGGTCTGATCTAATAGCCTAGAAGCATCTCCGATGGCGACTTCCCACTTTTGTTGGGCGTTCTTCTGTAGCTCAACAACAGCCGCATCAATCTGTGCTCCAATTTTCCTCCCTTCATCTTTCAAAGGCCGTTTTTCACCGTTCTTACGGCTCGTTCAGCAGCCCCATTAGATTGTAGGTGGAAAGGGGCTGTCCTGACGTGCGATATGTTGTTTTGCTGGACGAACGTTGCAAATTCACGGCTAGTGAATTGCGTCCCGTTGTCGGAAACAATCGTTCTGGGCACACCAAACCGGCTGAATATGTCCCGTAAACAGTTAATTGTAGCCGTCGTGATGGCTTGTTTGAGAGGGATTGCTTCTATCCACTTTGTATGGGAATCAGTTATCACCAGAACCATCATGCCTTCTATTGGTCCGGCAAAATCCACGTGAATGTGTGACCACTTCTCCAGCGTTTGTGGCCAGCTTGCTGGTGGTGCGATTGGCGGCATGGGTAAATTATCGATGCAGTTCTTGCATGTCGCTGACAGTCTCTCGATTTCTCCATCCAGGCCCGGCCATCAAAAGAATTATCGTGCGATATACTTCATCGCTGATGACCTTTGGTGATTTTCATGCAGGAGCTCCAGTAAACGTTTCCGTGCCTCGGCGGGTACAACAACTCGGTGGCCCCAATAAACTAACTCGTGTGCCAAGGACAACTCCAGCCGGCTCTATGCTCTTAGATCTTCTGGGCCAATCATTCAGTACGTAATGCTTGATGCGTGTGAGCGTCGAGTTGTGGTCTGTCAGGTGTTGTAGTTCGCACGTCGTTACTGTGCCTTCATCAAGGCTTTCCAAACAGAAGACATACTCTTGTGGTTCGAGAGCGCGACAGGAAACCGGTAGTGAAAGCCTGCTGAGGGTGCCCGAATTCAGCAACTGCCTTCCGGGAGAGTACTGAAGCTTGTAGCGATAACCGCCGAGATAAAGTGCCCAGCATTGGATGCGGGACGCTGCCATAACAGGCGTTGGGCGGTCGGCTCTGAGCAGTCCCACGAGTGGTTGGTGGTCCGTAACTAGCGTGAATTCACGGCCGCAGAGGTAGTCCTGGAACTTCGTGACGCCATACACGAGTGCCAGCGCCTCACGATCTAGTTGCGAGTAATTTCGTTCGGCTTTCGTAAGAGTCTTTAAACGAAATCGGATTGGTCGATGAGCGCTGCCTTCTGTGTGGAACAACACTGCACCAATGCCATGCTGTGATGCGTCACATTCCAATTTCAGTTCTTTCAACGGATCAAAGTGAGCAAGTACTTCTGCGTCCTTCAGATATTGTTTGGCCTTGACGAATGCTGTTTCCTGTGGGTGCTTCCACTCCCACCGTGCGCTTTTTTCTAGCAAGTGATACAACGGCGATAACGTTGTTGACATATTTGGTAAAAATCTGGAATAGAATGTCAACATGCCGACAAACGAACAGAACTCGCTCACATTGCAAGGACTCGGTACCTTCATGATAGCTTCCACGTTCCTTTCGGTGGGGTGCAGGCCATGTCTATCTATCCGATGTCCCAGATAAGCTACGGACGGTTGGCTGAAGCTGCATTTGTCATACCTCGGCTTTACGCCGTGTTCCTGGAAGTGATGCAACACTGCTTTCAGCCGAGCTTCGTTGTCTGCCACCTTTTCAGACACAAGCATGTCGTCCAAGTACGCTTGCACTCCAGGAAGACCGGCCAGCATAGTATCCATTTTCCTCTGAAATATGGCCGGAGCCGAGGAAATACCAAACGGCAGCCTGTTGTAACAGAAGAGTCCCAGATGCGTGTTAATCACGCACAGCTTGCGTGCACCTTTGTCTAATGGCGCCTGGTTGTAGGCATCTTTCAGGCCTAGCGTACTGAACAATTCCTCACCGCCTAATGACGCAAACATGTCCTGGATCACCGGAAGGGGATAGATATTGCTCTGTTTCACACGCTTGGTTCAACATGGCTTTAAAATCCCCGCAAATACGAACTGTGCCGTCCTTCTTAAGCACGGGCACTATGGGAGTCGCCCAGTCCGAATGTTTCATGGGTGATATAATGCCCAGGGACACCAAGCGTTCCAACTCCTTCGCCACTTTGTCACGGAGGGCATACGGAAGTGATCTTGCTTTGCAAAACTTGGGAACAGCACCCTCCTTCAGCATCAAGCTGGCTGGGAGCCCCTTGATCAGTCCCAGTTCCTCCGAGAAGACGTCTGGGTATTCAGCACGATTGTTGTCGTAGCTGATGGCTTGCACTGTGCCTGGTGCCACCCCTTTTTCCACTTGCAGTACCGAAACTCTAGCCTTGTCCAGCATGTTTATGAGGTCTCGTTCGCACAGGCTTGGTCCAACGCAGTCTAGTAGCTTACATTCAACCAGCTTACATTCAACGAGCTTACATTCAACCGCCACACCTTGGTACGTAACCATCAGTTGAAGTTCACCAAGTACTAGTAGTTTTCCTGCGTAGCCCGAAAGGCTAAGCTGTGAAGGTTCCAATTTTGGCCAGTGCTTCCAATGTTCTTCGAAAAGCTTCCGGGCTATGACACACATTGGAGATCCTGTATCTACCTCCATTGTCAGCTCCACACCGGCCCAACTGAACGCGCGCCGCATCAGCGGCTCGAGCCTGTTTTTTCGTTCTGACAGCAACGTCCAGATATGAGCATTCTCATAGTAATCTTCCGACGCTGCTTCTTGCACTGCTAATGCTTTTCCGTGCAGCTCCAGCGCAGCGCGTCCTGCTTCCCTGCCTCGGCGGCTAAGACACATTCTTGCGATTTGCCCACGTTGACCACATTGATAACAACGCGCCTTGATCGAGCTGCAGCTGTTAGCATCGTGTTTAAAACTTCCGCATCTTCCGCAATCCCGGCCTCCTGCGTTTTTAGCGCTTTCTCTGAGATTTGTTTGTCGACGTGCCTGCATTTTTAACAGCGGTGTTCCACATTGATAACAACGCGCCTTGATCGAGCTGCAGCTGTTAGCATCGTGTTTAAAACTTCCACATCTTCCGCAATCCCGGTCTCCTGCGTTTTTAGCGCTTTCTCCGAGATTTGTTCGTCGACGTGCCTGCATTTTTAACAGCGGTGTTTCTTCGGCTGAAATGCTTTCCGCATCGTCTTCCACGGCTTCGGCAGATATTAATATCGCTTCAGCTTCTTCCAGCATTAGCTCTTTCCGCACTAGCAGTTGTTTTCGTACCGCACTTGAGCGCACACCGCAAACAATCCTGTACCGGATCATTCTGTCAAAGGAGCTGTCAAAGTTGCATTGGTCTGCAATGCGGCGGATATGGATGAGAAAAGCACGAACTGATTCCCCCTCCAGTTGGGAGCGGCTGAAGAACTTGTAGCTCTCCGTAATTTCGTTGCGTTTAGGGTCATAGTACTCATTCAAGGTTTCGGTAACTTCGTCAAGGAATTCGGCTTCCGGGGAGCTACTCTTCCGGCAAGAATTTGAATGGTCTGCGTGCTCAGCGCAGCCACAAGAAGTGCTCTTTTCTTGCTTGACTCAGTAATGCCGTTTGCTTC